ACAGTGAGAAACCCATTCGAGCAGGCTGCTGTTGCAGGTTAGCACATAGTTGAGGTACTCAGCATCACATCCAGGTGTGACAAAGCTCAGCCCAGAAAGCCAGCTTTCTGGAGCCAAGTACCATTCCTCATCTGAGGCAGAGAGATGGTCACATCCCCCTTGGGCAAGGTAGGGTGGATGGGGCCACAGGCCACCAAAGCCATCAGCGGCATGCACAGGGAGGGAGGACATGGCTGGAGCAAAGTGCCTGCCCAAACTCACAGCCCAGGACACCTCTGAGAAACTGGGATGCACAACCTGATCCTCATTCTTGGATTAGGATGCAGGTTATTTCTTTAGGGAATGTAAGACTATGCTTACCCTGTTTCTTTTAAACACTGTCCCTATATGGTGTCTGTTAGGTAGCCCAGTGCCCAATGCAGCTGTCTGGGGAGGTGAGGACTTGAGCTCTTCAGCCTGAGGAGGTCAGGCTGTCACAGCTAGCCCTGTTTGGTGGCTGCATCTCTGAAGAAAGCAGCTGATGCTGCTGCAGTCATGCTGCCCACAGGGCATGCAACCTGGGGGCTCACTCAAGATATATTTTTTGACCAGGACCTAGGGACAAGCTTCCTTGTGCCTGTTCTTGAGTTCAGCCTTCTTTGTGTGTGACTGATCATCAGGGTTTCCTGGGACCCAGTCTTCTCTTCGGTATAAATATTATTAGTAAGTAACTAAGTCCAAGCATGAAGTGGATTTTACAAGTATACATGAAGCTGCTGAAAGCTTTAAAGTTCAAGTTTCAGGTGCTGAGCCATATCCTTTAAACCTGAGAGCTCTGAACCTAAGGTAGAAATCATTCTTAAAGAGAAGCGTAACAACCAGTATGGATTTGCAAGAGCAGCTTTAGTCACAGCAATACAGTTTCCTTTTCCAGAAGGGTAACAGGGCTTGGGAGGCAGCGGGTGCTATGTCTGGGCTCTAGTGAAGCTTTTGACATTTTGACATGTGACTCACAGTATTCAAGAAAAGATTGTCTGGGTGAGCCCACTGTGGGATAATAACATTTGGCTAGAAAAACATTTATTGAAAATAGTAATAATTATTTCATTGTCAGATGAAAGATGTATTGAGTGGATCCTACAGGTGTTCATTGGAGGGTCCAGTGCTAGTCAGTGTTTCCATTAATGACTTGGATAATGGAATAAAGAGTATACTTATTAAATCTGCAGATGACATCAAGCTGGGAGGGACTGAATACGCTGCAGGACAGAAATAGAACACGAGACAATCACAGCAAATTGGACAAATGATCTGAGAACACAAGATGAAATTCAACCAGGACATATTCGTGTAATTAGACTTAAGCAGGAATAATCAAGTTCATAAATACAGGAAAAGGAACAGCTGTCTAGGTGGCAATTCTACTGAAAAAAAGAGTCTGGAAACTACTGTACAACACAAGGTAAAAAGTAGTAAAAACCACGTCTCCCCACCACAGGACAAGCAAGCATACTGGGAATGACAGACCTGTGATGTAGGTTTTTCCCTGGAGGATTATGTCCAGTGTTGGGTGTCCCATTCTGAAACAGGCAGACTAGAGAGAGACCAGGAAAGAAGGGTATTGGTCACAGGTTTAGGATCCATGGCCAGCAGGAGCAGGCAGAACAGAAAAAGGTTGTCTATATGCTAAAAAAAAAGTAAATAAATAAAAAAGGAAGAGATGACTGGGGGAAGACACTGTAACAGTTTTCAAATAGCTGAACACTGCTATCACGGAAATAATAATCTACTTTCCATGCCCATGGTGAATAAGAGGCAAAAAAATCCAACTTCATCATGGGAGATTTGGGTTAATCTGTTAAGACTAGGGAAGCATTGGAATAGATGGTCCAGAGCTCAATCAAAATATTGTCAAGGGCAAAGAAGGTGCCACCGAACACGCCTGGGGCAAGGAGATGGACCAGATGATCTCTCAAAGCCCCTTCCAATCCTATTTCCTATAGCTTTTTTGATCAGTAGTAGCAAGTTTAAACAGAAGCTGCATTCCCCCTCTCTCAGATATTTTCCACAATGAAAAGGGGGAGTTTGGAGTTTTTACAGTACAGCTCAACACACACACCAGTCCCTACCCAGCTTCAGAAAACCTATTTTCTAAATACACCAGACACACCAAGGTACTCTCAACCCTATGTGGAACAGACCGTAGGACATTAATCTTTTAGCAACAAAAAACACAGTCCTCTTCTAACAAACCTGTGTAACTGCTTGTAGGGGCAACTACAGAGCCACAGAGCCCTGTGGCACCCTGCACATGCCTCAGTAGACCCAGGCTAGGAAATGTGTTTACATCTCAGGCTCACTGGTCTGTGCAGTCCTAAAAATAGTTTGGGAGGCTGTTTGTTGCTGGGTTTTTTTAAATGTTTTCCTGTGGAAACATCTCACACGTTAAATGTTGTGCAGCTACCCAGTAAACTAAGGTCATGTCTACAAAGATGACAAAATCCTAAAATCAGTATCTGTCTCAGACCCCAAGCATAGCACCAATGGCAACTAACGTTTGCAACACCTGTGTTTGAAATCAGCCCTCATCTCTTTATAAGAGGAAAAGCCCTTTTGCTAAGAGCTAGAGCTGCTGCAAGACCCATCACGCAAGCAATGCACCATGCTGTTCTGCTGGAGGGCAGATCATTCCCATGGAAATGTGAAGGGAGCATGCACTGGGAATGCCATGCCCTGCAGCGCTCCCAGATGAACATGACACAGGTTATGAACATGTATACCACCAAGAGGAGAAAAAGTGCCCAGGACTGTAACTAGCAGAATTAGGGCAAAGGCATCACTTCCATCTTCAGTGATCATTAGACTTTTCTGTTGTTAAGATGATTAGGAATGCATGAAACACCCCCTTCCATGTCATAGATGCGTGCCCATATGCACCTATGGCAACCCTCTTCAAACTGAGGTCATGCTCCTTATTCAGTATGCCAGCAATGAGGATAATTAATGCCATTTCTTAGATCAGCCATAAAGGCACAGACCAGCACCGAGCAAAGCCAGCAAGTAATGTGTTTTGATGCTAAAGAGCTTCTGAGAGAAGCTGTCAGCTGGCCCCTGTTGTCCCAGCTCCTCCTGTGAGGCCTCAGCCGCTGCAGGGGTTTCCTCCCGGCGCTCTGGCTCTGCCTGCCTGGAAAGGAGCTAGTGCTGCCGCAAGATGGGTGCCCCCACTCCCAAGGGTTTAAGGGCAATGAAGGCTCAGGGCCACCCCTTAGAGGCTGCCCAGGCAGAGCACGGAGTAACTGTGGTATGAGCCAGAGCGAGCTCCCGCTGCACCTCATCTGGGGAGAAGGGGGTCCCTGCAGCCGGTCCGAGCAGCTCTGCCGCAGGGGCAAGACACAACCACGCTTTTCCTATCACCGCGCTCAGCAGGGAACAGGGACCCGTGGCGCAGAGGGCGATCTCTGACCCTGGCCATCCTTCCTCTCCCATCTCTCGCCCACGGCATCTCTGAGCGATGCTCCCAACGCTGGTTGTGCCCCTGCTGCTAGAGTTAATTACAGTAATTATACCTGCGCTCCTCAGCTCCAGCTCCCTTTGTTGTGACTTCCCTGCCCATTCATTTGCAAATCTAATAGCTCAGTCAGTTTTTAAAAGAGAAAAGGGCTAGGGAGTGCAAAGATACAAATGAAGAAAGGAAGATTCCTGCCACAAGAATACAGCAGGAATCGAGGAGCCATTCAGCAGCACCAGGTGTTTTATTTAGTGCCCCTGCAAGGGCTCCATGCTGCTCCCAGCTCTTCAGACAGGCCTTTGCTGTGTTACAACAGTAGCCCAGAGTGGGGAGAAAAGAACTGCATCAGCCTCCCTCAGTGCCTTCCAGCTTACCTTGATCAAGGTTCGTAGCAGAGCTCAAGATACTGCCCAGTGCTTCAGAGACCACCTGCAGAAAGACAGGAGAGCTTCCACGGCACCCAGAATTCACAGGTGCCATGAACCTCCAGCAACTTCTCATTGCTGGATCCTACCCATTTCTCAGGCCGGTTTCCTGTGGGAGAGGGGTGCTGCAGTATCAGCTGTGCAAACAGAAGACTATTTTCATGCCTGGGAGCAGAGGCTTTCTAGCAGTGACCTAGGAAGAGGCATTGCTGGAGGTGGGTCTGCAGTTCAGGTCACCTCCCTAAAGGACAGATGTGAGGTGAATCTTTTGAACAAAGAAGGGGAAAAGTATAACCAGAAAAAAAAATGAGCAAAAATGGCTTCATAACTGTTTTCTGGTGCTTTGGACAAGAGGAAGCAAGGAGAGGAAGCCTGTGATGTGCCCTGCCAGCTGACACTGGCAGCCGAGTGGTGGGTTTTGTTCACCCATATACTGTGTACACAGTTTCAAGGAGGAAGCTACAAACCAGCATTATTTTTTGTCTTTTACTGCCAGTGGAGACAGTGAAAGACAGCAAGGGACAAAGACAGCCTGGCTCCTTCGCACTAAGTAAGTGCAGCAGTTTAATTAAACTGAGCTGAAGCACTTTCACACCAGCCGTTATGCCAGTTCATCAGCGTAGCCACACAAATCTAAGGTTGTTCACAATATCATCCTGGACACCAGAATGTCCCACTGTGCGATGTTTCACCATGTCAGCACTAGAGCTGATTTTTCTCATTGACCATGCTGGAAAGGCAGCCCAGGTGGCTGCAGAAGTTCAGGAGCTTGAGAAGGTGAGGATTAAACTAATTCCCCTGAGAAAGTATTAGAAGAATACACATTTCTTTTAAAAAAGGATGAAAACAGGTGATGTTTCTCATGATCACAGTAGATGTTTATCTTCATATGCTTTGTACACTAAACATTTATTGTTTCACAATTCTGAATAGGCAAGAAAGCACTTGTAGAGAGTGGACAGGAGCAGGAGGTAGTGAGGCCTTCTGAACACAGTAGGCAAGCAGAGAGGCGGTTAGGGAAACAGGTCAGAAATACAAAGCACTCCCATTGGAAGCTAATGTCCCACTGATTTTTTTTTTTGGGGAAGTTGAAGCAACAAATTCATTTTAATATAACAGGGGAAAAAAATGCAACCCCCCAAAAAAGTAACAACTTGATTACAGGTAGGGAACATGAAACAAGAGTACTACATAGATCTGAGCAATGTGTAACTGCAGCGTGGCAAACTAGAGTCTCCAAGTCCTTTAGATGACGTGCTCAAAAGGGTTTTCCATCTTCCAGGAGGCTGATTGCTGGGGGAGGAGAGGAAGGATCTGCAATTAGGTTGATTAAAATAGTGGTCCCAGCATGGTCTGCTCTTCACTGTTGCCAGGAGACTAGAAGGCTGGGATGAACTGCTCAAACTTTTTATAACAAAAATAGTTATTTACTTCCACACCCTGTGATCTCGGTCCTCCCCAAGGCTGCACCTTCTCCATTAGTCCTCCGGAAAAAAAAAATCCCAACCCAACTTCACTTTCTTATACTTGTGTTAAGTTGGATTTACCATGTCCAAAACCACACCAATTTTTCCCTCCATCTTCCTAAACCAGTGCCCAGCTCCAGAAGCTATGCTAACCATTCGGGGGTTGTCCTTTCACTTTTTATAATATTAATCCTGTCTTTCCTTCCTGATCTGGACCCTCATCCCAGATAAGCAGGTCAATTCCAGGTTACTTGCCCCCACTACAGGATATATATCTGAAGCAAAGGTTGGCTACATGGCTCAGCTGATGAGGACATTGAGATGGGCAGCCACCCACAGGTTATTAAGTAGGCATGCACTACCTGCAGTCAGGGACTTATGCTTATGGTAACCTTATCCTTGTAAGGTTCCCATAACACTTCAGGAAACAGAGCATCTTAATGTAGACACCAAGTCAGGCTACCTTACCAATTTACTCAAGTTTTTCCCCTCCCCTTTCCCAACTCATACAGAAGTGAAAGGAAATGCTGAGTATATCATGAGAGATGGCTATAGTCCAAAGTGAAATCCTAGTTCTTCCTTCAAGTCTCTTTTGATGGCCATCCTAGAGCATACTGGGGGGGGCAGGGGAGGGATGGAGACACGACTGTTGAAAGCCTGGAGATCTCCATCTGTCACTGTAGTCCAATTCAGGCCATTTGCTTCAGCGTAAACTTCATCCTCCCTAAAGCCAAGTTTGTTAATGAAACTGAGCCAATGTGCCTTTTCTATGGCTTTCTCTTGTTGTATCTGCTTCTGCAAAAACTGTGCATGCCAAGAAATAAGCTCGCCTTTTAGGGTCTAAATGCCAACACCTTGAGCGAAAGGGAAGGGGCTGCAATGGATGGATAGCAGGCGTGACACAGTTTTGTTAAGGAAGTATAGAGATGATAGTGAGGTAGAAGATTGCAAAAATAGCAGCAAGATTAGCTTTAAGTTTAAATCTCTGCTACAAATGCTGATGAGTGCATGTGGGGGAAGGGAGTTTGAATGCCAAGAGAGAAAGAATCCTTGCTCCTGTTAACACAGCAGCAATCAGGCAATAGCTGGAAAGAGCCATTTAAACCTCCCTGTGTAGTGTTGAAACACAGCACGTAATTACTCATCATGCTCCTTTCTGCCCGCTGGAGGAGCTGTACCGCGCAGCCACCTCAGCACCACTGGTCTGCACGACTCGTCAGGTACCCTCCAGATCATGCGATGCAGAATTCACACAAGTACCTGAAAGTTTCCTGGCTAAATTCCATCATCTTTTCAAGGCTTCCATAGTCACTGCACCAAGCTCTCTACCTACTTGTGCTTGGACAGAGAAATGGCACTGTGCACAGGGAAACATAGCCTGAGAATAAGGGCAAGCAGCAGCAGTGCTAACAGAAAGTCTGGTTTGGTCCTTAGTCTTCAGGTACCAAACTGAGACACCAGCCCTGTTAGTGGCCCTGATCTGCATTTGCTCCAACATATTCACCCAGTACAAACAAGTATCTCTGAAGAGGGCAGGCACATTCAGAGACTCTGTAGGGGCTCAGATGGTAGCACAAAGGCACAGCCATGTTAGCAGAGGATACAAACTATTACTAGCACTAGAAAAAGAGTTTCAGGTTTCCCACCAGTACTCTAATAGAAGCGTTTCTGCTTCAAAACCACCTTGACTGGATGTCAAGGACACATTATAAAGGCAGGTCAATCCAGGTGTGAAGCAATGTAGATAGAGAGAGCAGAAGCAAAAAGCCTAAGAATACACCCAAGAACCTTAAACCCAGCAAGCTTACTATGGCATCACTGCATTAATTGCTTCCTGCAACCTCAGATGCTAATTACTTGTGGTTTAATTTTCGTACTTGCCATACTTCTGTCCAAATTAAAGTCAACCTAATTTAATGCCCCAACACAAACAGACTCCAAGTGCCTTTTTCCTTGAAAGCTTTTGCTGCTAGCCAGTACCTGGACACCATATTAGGAATAGCATTATTTTAACTCCTAAGTGGCTTCTGTCTTATGTGTTGCAAACTGGGAAGACAGTCAGAAAAATAGTGCAAGAGGTAGAGAATGTGCCTTCTCTCCTGTGTGCTATAGCCATCCACTTTCAACAAAGGCTGCTGGGAGGGAAATGCAGCCCAGAGACATGCACCTCTATACATTAACAACGTCCAACAGATGTTTCTCAGGTTCATTTCCTGACTGACCATAGAGCCCACAGATGCTTTTCAAGCTTATCTTCAACCATTCCTTTCTATTTACAACCTCTTCTTGGACAGCAGCCTCCTAGCCTTGCCAATACTCCTTCCAACCTGGGTATTGCTCCTCTGACATTGTCCATGCCTCAAATTTCTAGAGGGTCCTTGCAGCTAAGAGAAACATCCACCCCATTTGTTGCAGCATCTCCAGCCCCAATGGCCACACAGCATCAGGCACAGAGGAGCCCCAGGAGGGAAGGGAGGATGCAGCATAGACTTTCTATAGATCCTGAAAAAGTCAAGACTGCTTTGAAGGGTCTGCATAAGCAAAATCTGTTATTTAGCTCCCTGACAGCAAAGCAGGTGGTGAATTTACAGAAATCCTTCCCCAAACAGTTTTGCCACAGATTTCTGTCACTTCACAAAAGCTCTTCCCTTCCACCTTGATGATGACCTTTGCCACTGATGGCAGGAGATGAGGATGTTTGTTTCAGCAGAGAGATGGCTTTGCAAATCCAGAGGAATCTGGAGGTTATTGAGTAGCTGACACAAGGAGGATTAGCAAGAGCATGGGTTATCTTCATAATAAATACAGCCTGCCACACATCTCCACATTTAAGAACAGCCTCTCAGGGTCAATAGGCTTGGTAGCTTAGATCAGTCAATAAGACCTAGTATTAGCTTCAGCAAAAGTGTCAATTCCTGCTTAATAAAACATGGTTTATGTTTTGAATCTCCCAGAGAGCTTTCTACTGCAAGCTTCTCCTTAAATGGTCAAATCCCTTCAAAGCCCAGGGGGCAAAATAAAAGGCCTGGTGGGCCAAGAACAATGTTTTGAGCCTGCATGAGCAACACATTGGTGCAAAGTCAAAACTCCCCTCAGCAACACGGGACAAGGAAGAAAATGGGCAGGTGGAGACCTCCACAGAATACAGCACTTTCCAAATGCCTCAGCACTACTTTGCTTTTCTCACAGCTTCTCTCACCTGTCCTCAACTGCCATCACACACCATCCTAGGCCCACAGCCTACACACAAGACATGTAGTCATTGTTAGGCTTGCGAAATCCGAAGAGAGATACACTAACATGCATCCAAAAGCCACCATCATCTCCAGGAGCAGGACTTTCTATACCCACCCTTCCCTTTGCTTTTTCCCAGGCAGAGAAACAGGGAAATACTTACCTTTCTCCATGCAAACCAACCCTGCCCCCTGAAGCAGCCTCACTACTCCTGTCTCTGCCTCCTGCCCCCTTTTCCTCCCCTTCCCTCTCCACATCACCCACATGTCATACCACATGAGCTACCAAAGCCTTCAGCAGATGCCCTCATTACCTCCAGCAAGGCAAAAAGCAGCCACAACCCAGAGCTGAAACCTTGTCACAGTTTGTAATGAGCTGATGGGAAAATATTTCTGCTTGATTAGAACCCTTAACAAACTCCTGATTATTATGAGTGGAAGCTTGCTGGCCTCCTGTTTTGTCCCATCTGTAACAGCAGGACAGCTTCTTGCATCCCCCCATGTATCTCTTCCACTCAACTCAGGAGGAAGAGGTATAGCAACTCTTCACTGATTTGTACCACACACTGGCAACAGCAAAAGAGAAATACTGCTGGTGTTAATATATCAGTCTTTGCTGTAAATCAAGGGTTAAGCTTTCTGCTGCTTGGGAAAAACCTTTAGTCACTGGCAATGTCACCAAAGAACCAGTGAAAGACAGAGTCATGTTGCACCCCAGAGTGTGTTGTGGTTGGGGGTTTAAAGACCCTTTAACAAGTGCTTGGAACCAGGATGCTCTTTTTCCATCTATTAGGAAATTGTCCCCCTCAAGCACTGAGTACTGTCAGGTGATCTCACCAGCAGAGGAAACATACAAAATATGAGTTTACAAAGCAGCATGAAGTCAATACTACATGGTGAGCACAGAGACGGGGACTCCCAAGGCAGAAACATGGATCGGGTACTGCCACACTTCTCCCACACATCCTCCTTGCTGGCAGCTTCAGGAGGAGGCCAGAGGGCCTGGGACTGGGATCCCTGCAGGTTAAGCTTGTGGTGTACCTGCAAGGCTGTACTCTGAATCACATCAAGTGTTTTCTTGTCTTCTTTCAGACTGGGACCAATGACATCCCCATGAGACCATGCCCCTCAGCAGCCTCCATGTTACCCCAGCACAGTAGGATCACCAGGCAGTGGTGATCAATAGGAAGAGCCAATCCGTCTTCACCCCACATACAAAGTCTGGGTCTTCATACCATGGAGGGGTCCTCCACCTTCCTCTCCTGTCCAACTGTCTCCACCTTAAGGCCTTCCACTTTGCCTCCTCCAAATTCTTCAGCCAAAACCTTGCAGCCTTCATTCTTTACTTCTTCTCCAAAAGCCATAACAGCAGCAGTTCCACTCATCAAGGTATTCTTCCTTCCACAGTGACCAGCAGTATCTTTTCTCTGGCTTCCCAACAGTCCTTTCTACAGCCTAAAACCCAGGCCAACAAACGGGAAGGGACAGGAAAGGTTCTGCAAGCCCAACTTACCTTTTAACACAACCAATGCAACAGTCGTCGGCAGCATCAGTTTGAGTGGAAGAAAACAAACCTAAACACTAGTTGCTCTGATTAAATATTAAAGGTGGAGCACACCTTTACTGCATTTTTAAAGGTCATCTTTGGCCTTTAAAACCTGCAGTTTCCTGGAGCACCTGAACTGATCTTGGGAACTGAGATGCCTCATGTGGTCTTGGTCATTCAACTTCAGCCCACATAACTCAAGTGCTCAAGATGATCTGGTGATGTGACAGAGCCAGGTGATTCATATGAATAGGAGGGCTTGAATGGGACGCTCTGGTGACCACTGTGACTCAGTCTTTGCTGCTGTTGTGTCACAAGAAATGGCTGGGACCAGCTAGACAAAGTCAGTTGTTGTGCCCTGCTCTGGTTATAAAGGTTTCAAGGTACTCAGTAATTATTGAAAACAGGCACAGCTGTATTATATGTAAATACATACCTATGTATTTATAAATGTTAGGAGATGTACTTTCGCATTTAGTTTAGACCTTCTATAAACAGAAGTATGGAGTAGGAAGAAACTTCTCCAGTTGGCAAGTCTTAAGTGTTGTCCATTTGTGTGGCTTTTCTACCTCCCTCTGGGCCAGCTAGGACAAAGTACTCTTGGAGGCTGCAGACTGATCTAGATGGAGCATTAGTCTAATCTGGCCACTAAGATTCCAGTTTCATGTTAGAAATGGCAACTTTTACTTGTTAACTGGTGTTAATTTTAATCACTTTTTTCCGTTCAACATCACCATTTCCCTTCAGTCTGTGTTATGCCAGATGTTCAGGGCATGTGGTTTGTCCTTCCAGCAAAGGAGAACTAGAAGGCTTGTGCCTGGGAATATTCTACACGTTCTCTTTATGCACACAGCACTAGAGCAGAGGAGGTGAAGAGCCTGCAAGAGCTCTCAGAGGCACCTCAGCCCACGACTGGTGTGGATTTCCCCTTGAACTGATATTAATAAAAGACCTAAGCAGAACAGTGCTGCTCACAAGGTTCTCTCTCTAGGGCTCCTGGCTCTGCCCCAAACCTTGCAAAACCCCTGTGCCACATTCCATCCTTCCATGGCCAAACAAGAAAAATAACTTGAAAGACTGCGCAGTGGGATCATCCATCGGCACATGCCTTAACAATATCAACGTTAATACTCAGCACTTGTAACGCTTTTGACCCATATATGTCAAAGCCCTTCTGTGGAAAGAGAGATACTGTGTAGCCTGGTAGGAGCCTAGAGATAACCCAGTTAAGATTTAGTAACAGTGGCTACTATACTCATTGACCCAGCTGAAGATGTATGGAAAAGTGACAAAACCCTCTTCCCAACATGCAGCTGGTTTGGTGTGAAGCCCAGAATGGCTTCCCTGGAGTAATGTAGTGTGAAATTCAAGAATATCTTTATGTAAATACTGTAGTAACACAGTTGCCTTTGCAAGCTAAATTTTGCTGCTTCTGAGTATAATCTCAAGCAGAATCTGTTGTTTGAATTCATAACGCATAAGAGACCTGCCTGAGCACTTCTCATTAACATCCCAATACAGGCTATGGGGACAGAGATTCAACAGCGCTCTGCTTCCCCTATTTCTCCCATTTGTAACCACGTGGCATGTATTTCTGGGCAGAGGCTGCAGTGTCCCACCGTGGTATATCCTCAGCAGCTCTTTTCCATCGAGATGTAAGAAGTCAATGACAAAATAAGGGTGCTGGTGGAGGCTGATTCCCATCCTGCTGTAACACACCCAAGTCCTCTTCTGTCCTCCTAGCCAAGCAAGAGCCCTTGACATTTTGTTTTATGCTGTTATTTTCCCTTTTGCTTTCTCCTCCCCTCTAAACCACACTGTTCTCAGAGCTGCCCATCCTCTCCCTCCGCAGCTGCTGTCCAGGCTCAAAGCAATTAACTCTGACACTTTCTGTGGGTCTGTTCCTCTGAAGATTACTGTCCCATGTTCAGAGTGGATCATCCATCAACCAAAAGGCCAGCTGCCACCCAGGGGTCTGGTGCAGCCCTTTGGCACTCGTTCTGGAAGGTCTCTGGCTGCACAGCTGGTAGAGAGTGAAGAAAGCAGTGCACCAGGAACAAAACCAGCATGGGCTGGAGTTTAGTGTTCCAGCCAGCATGTACATCCACAGACATGAGCACACATATGCGCACCCATAGTAGCAGCTCCTCAGCCTCAGATGTCTGGAGATGGCTTGGAAGAAGAGCCCAGGAATGAATTAGCTGTCAGGAGACAATTTGCCTGCTCTCACACCACGGAGACCTCCCTTGAGGGGAACTCTCCTTGCCAAGAACTGGGTAGGGTTTTCAGATGACTTATGGAACCTGCATAGTGTCAATATCTGAAGAAACTGTGAAAGCGAACTAGAGCTGAACATCGTGCCCATGCTGAGCCTGCATGCTGTGAGCCCACAGCCCTGTTCTTGCAGTGCTGCAGGACCTCCCCACCAGAGCTGGAGCTCCTGCATGCTGGCTGACAGGCTTCTAGCCTGCCATAGTCACCACAGCATCTCCTTTTCCCTGCTAACAGCCCTTCTTCTGCGCACAGAGCACAGGCCAATGCTCTCATGAAGTGAGATGGCACCTTCTGGTCTGGTGATACCACTGCAGACCCAGCTTCCCTCACAGCCCAGCCAAAACACCTCCAGCCCAACCGCTGTGCCTGTCCCGGCCACCTACCCAGGCCAAGCTGAGGTATGAGTTCCACCACTAGTAAGACCAAACTATTGATCTTTGGAATGAGTTAAAATCCAGCCCAACATCCCCCCATAACAAGGGCCGTTGATAAGCAACGACAGCATCTTTACAATATGGCCCAAACTATAGCCAGGCTTCCTTCAGCCCACCAAGATAATCTGGAGAGGCAAACCAAGAAGGAGAGCAACATCACTGCAGACTGGGATAAAAAGGCAGGGTCCAGCAAGAAAAACAAGAGGGAAATGACTCAGGACATACATGCAGCATGCAGTCTGCTCTGGGCAGCTGGGCACAGCCCTACCAGCTTCATAGAGCTGAGATGGGGAAACATCTGGTTTGTGGCTAAAGCAGAGACCAAAAGGAAGCAGTGTGCCCTGTGCCAGTTGGCGGTCCCTCCCTGTGCCCTTTTTGCCATGCCCATAGCAACAGCCAGCTGTGCTGTGAGGTGATGGCACATGGGCTGTCAGTGCAGCAGACAACAGGAAGAAATCAAGCTGAGAAAACCCATTGCAAGTGGAACAAATATAAAAGAAGAGAGGCCAAACAGCGAGATGGAAGCTCCTTGCTGGGAGTGGGGCTAAGCTGGCCAGGTTGCTGGCAGTGAATGGATAACTGGATGATGCAACAAGCCATTTAAGAAGTCCAGTTTCCTCTGCTTTTCACTACCTTTTCTTTCCCATCTTTCCTTTGTGTTTCCCTTGTCAGCTTTTGAGGGCAGACAGCTTATCCCATCAAGCTGTCCTGAGAGGAGGGACTGGGCTGTCTGACCCTCTATCAGTTCCTACTGACAAGCATTTATTCAAATCCTTCTCCAGTTTCAACCAAGAGGCACAGAGATCCCAGAGATGATGAAAGTCTTTCAGATCTAATGAAAATAAGTAGGTGGATAGAGAAGACTCTCTGAGCATCCCCACTGCAGGAGAGATTGCATTGTGAGCTAAAATACAAAGCACCAGAAAGCTTTCACGGGAGAAACCATGTAAATACCCCAGGGCACAGGAAACACATTTAACCCTCCTCCATGTTCAGAAGGACACTCGCAGCTGGACATG